CTACTCACTGTCGTTCGTATCGCTACTACTAACTACTATATACACAACTAACGTACTAACGACTTACTTACTCCTTCTCTCTCACTACTCTACACTATACTCTCTCTCTCTCTCTCTCTCTCTCTCTCTCTCTCTCCAAAACAACCTTGAAACCACTTTCACCCGCCCATCTTTCTCACCACTCAAACCACTTTTACCAATGCCTCTTCTCTCTCTCTCTCTCACACACACACACAATGTATCATCGAGAACAACCTTAACACCCCTTTCCCTCCCTCTGTGACATCCACACAGGTTGGACTGAGTTTTACTGCCATCAAGGGGTTCAGATATAAATGACAGTTTCCAGCTCTCTCCGTGATATCCCCAGAGGTTCTACTAAGTTTTTACTGCCATCAAGACGTTCAGATATAAATGACAACGTGTCCAGAAAAACTTAAAAAGAATGCATACAACATGAGCACACATTAAAAAAAATATAAACGCACAATTCCCAGTACAAATAATAGCTTTTCATACAATATGAGCAGACACATTAAAAGAAATATAAACGCTCAACTCCCAGTACAAATAATAGCTTTTAAACAATTACTCCCTCCAAAAAACCAGTTAGGAATACTTTTAGGACCCAAAATTATAGGGATGTAATTCAATATACTATGAAAGTGCGTGAACAAATCACATCTTACGATTGACCTCAAAACCATCCAAAACTCAGATCTAGGTGTTCTATTTTTTAGAAATCAAGGAACTCAATAAATTTCTTCTTTTTCCTTCGTTTTTTTTTCTTTTTTTTTGTTAGAGGGGGGTGGTTTAGAAAATACTCTAGAGTGTGTTTGACGTATGGAGTTTTTGGAAGTGGAAAGGACTCTCCCACAAATTATGAAAGACTGCTTTTTCATTATTTTTTATGGAAGATAGGTCTTCCAAAAATGAACCCATTTTAACACTGAAAAAACAGATGCATGGAAAGTCACCTTTCCACTTTACAGCTTTCCGTAACATCAAACATGAAATGGGACATTTAATATCCACTTCCAGAAACTTCTACTTATCAAACACGCCCTTAGTGACCTAAAGTAGATCCCAAACTTTCACATGACCCTTAGTGACACTAAAGCAGATCCCAGACTTTCACATGAAGAGAAGGAGCAAGAATTACCTTCTGCTCCAGCAGAAGCACTGCACACGCGCTCATTCAAAATTTTCCTTGCAGATTTTGTGGGAGTTCCAGTACAGTTATATCAAAGCATATATGCACAATAAATACAGTCCATGAGTCGACAATTCCCAAAAGAAAATGGTAAACCTCGCTTCTATTTCATTATAGTCAACAGGCATAGGAAGAAATTGACAGCTACAGTAACCAATGCATTTTCAGAGACATGAGTGCCGTTAGATATAAAGAAGAGAAAATATCTCCATACCTTCTTTTTTTAAGTTTTATATCTCAATAAACCTAAAGTTTCAAAACATATCTTGGATCATAACAATTCTAAGTTTTGCATCTTTTAACCCTCTAAGCTAACTTTATCTCCTTTAAACCTATTTATTTACCCCAAACAAATGTAAAAAAAAACCTATCATTTCTCTCTCGTCAAGTGATTTCTCCTAAATCTCTCTCTATTTTCCCCTTCTCTCTCCTCCGCGTCTCTCAATTTCTCTCCTCCTCGTAACTACTCTCCCTATTTTTGCATTCTCTCCCCCGTGTCTCTCTCTCTTCCCCATAACTAAATCTCTCTCTCCCTATTTTCGCATTCTCTCTCTCCCCTGTGTCTCTCACCCTCTCTCTTCCCCATAAGAATTGATTGCACGCTCGGACATAGCATGGGCTCCCATTAAAGAGACAGAAAGCAACTGAAAGGAGAAAAAGAAGTGAAGCATGAACTGCGGCTTGTTTGAATCAGAGGCCTTTCTACTTCCCCTGCCACATTTTTGTGGAGGAGAGAGAAATCACTCTCCCTCTTTCTCTCTCTAACTAGCTTGGAAAGCTGGACACCAGATTTGGATCAGATAGTTGGTTATGAGAAACCAATGAGGATTATTTCTGGTTTTTAGGTATATAATTTATTACTTTATTCTATGTCCCCGTGATCTAACAAAACCACCCTCTCTCTTTCTCTGTATTTTCCCTACTCTCTCTCTCTATTTTGCTTTTATTTCTCTCTATGTCCTTGCATGGAGCTCGATTACGGGGGTGGAGCTCTGCTGCGAAAGTTTGAAGTACTTGCCAGACACTGAGTCCAGGAATCAGTCATTGAGGGGTAGGGATGGAGGAGGACCAACGGCTAAGATTCTTCTTCGTGGATGAGGGGTCAACAGAGCTGTTGGATATGGTCAGAGGCAGCTCCACCATGGCCAAGGGTTCTTTCTGGTTCTCTATGGAAGAGCCTCTCTCTCTATTTTGACAAGAGCCTCTTTCTCTTTCTACCGTTCTCTCCAAATTGTCTTCTTTTCATTTCCAAAATCCCTCTCTCCCATTTTTAGAACAGCCTCTTTCTCTTTCTATCTTTCTCCCAAATTGTCGGCTTTCCCCAACTTTCAAAATGAGAGGACCATAATAGTTGTGCTCCAAATTTTCTGAAGAGCTTCTTTTCCCTTTCTATCTTTCTCCCAAATTGTCTTCTTTCCTCAATTTTCAGAATCATAGGACTGTAATAGTTATAGGATTTCTAAGGCAAATGCAATGAATTTACTGTATTATTTTGAGAGGTCGAATATTCAAAATTATGTTTTATTGGGTGAGGGTTGGGGGCTCTCGTATAATTTTGCAATGAGGGGGTATCCAGTCGTTGATTCTGAATTGTTATAACAACATATTAGAGCTTTTGATCCAATGAAGATAGAGGGTGTTAACTCTAAGTTTACAAAAGATATTTTAATTAAGAACCATGTGATAAAGAAGTGTTAGAATCTGGTTTGGGAGCTTGGTTGACAACTGTAAACATGGTTCCAATAGAAAATATGTGTTCAAACGTAACAGATCAGAGGGAGGATATGGTGTTTTTTTATTCTTCAAAAACTCGGAGACCATGGTGAACGCTGGGTCCCAGTGAGAGAAACGTATATAGAGAGAGAAGAGAAACATGTAGAGAGAGACGGGAGTTTAGAAGAGGATGTCATTTACAAATTTGTTTAGGTTAAAAAATTGGATAAAATTGGTATCAGGGGCTGGAAGATATAATTAATAAGAATCTTTATTAAAAAAGATAGGTTTTCAAACTTTAGATTCATGGAGAAATGAAACTTAAAGTAGGTTCCATGAAGATATTTTCATCAAGTGCAAAGAACACAATCAAGGTACAAATGCATCCACAACACCATTAACTCTCTGAATCAAGGCATAACAAGTTCAAAATTGGACTCAAGAAAAAAAACTTGAGTCAATAAGTCGAGTTGGTGGCATTGCTCCTTTTTTTAGTTATTTTGGTGGAAAACTATCCAAAAGATGCTAGTCTACAATGATTTCCTAGATATCTTTATAAACAATTTATTGTGCTTCATATCATCAACACAATATTTGACCACCCTATCAATTATGCATATTGTGTGACTGATATTAAATAAAGGGATTGTATACTAAGAGACCATTTACTTTTATTACAAAGAGGTTGCAATTACTCGTAACCATTAGATGTGAAATTGAATGGCTTGAAGTGCTTTATAAAATTCGATAAATTTTTCTTTTGACCTTTGAACCTAAGTAATTTGCACTCTTACAACCACCCGATTTGAAATCTGACGGACAAGAGTACTTGTAACTTCTTTTTACCAAAAATAAATGGTCTCTTTATATACTTTTCCTTAAATAAATTGGACTCCCAAAAGGACAAACTGACTTGAACCAGCCACTCAAGTCAACTTGGACTAACTTCTTAAACCACACCCTAAAAACATTAAGGGGGGGAAATACAGCTCAAATTACAAATATCAAAAATTTTAAAGAAAGGGGAGCCAACCAGCAGAGCCATGGTGAGCTTCAGCATGTGCAAGCCACGCTTCCATTGGGTGAAGGACCAGCTTGATCTTGACTGGAGCCTCAATCACCAAGACTAAGCTCAGCTAGATCAAGGGAAGGTTTGACCTTGGCCTTGGGTTGGCTTGTTAAGAAACAAGCTCAGAACAAACTCGGCTACATGGAATACATATCTATATGGTAAATAGGATAGCTTGAGATGATTTTCCCTTTTGAGGTGAGGTCCATATACCATAATATGTATTGTTTCCTTTATATATACTATGCATATAATAAAATAGACAAGTATATTATATGTATAATATAGTAGACAAGCTTAAGCCAAACTTTTTTATGCTTGATCTTGGCATGTCTAATTATCAAGCTAGTGGGTGCAGCTTGGCTAGGAATGCCACACCAGAACATATTACTCAAGCTTGATTCTCTTTACAAGTCAAGCACCTCGGCTCGCGACCTAGGTTGGCAGGTTGAAAGGGCTACTCAAAGATCATTGAAAGCTGCTAAATAAGAAAAACAAAGACTCCATGCAAGTTTTATACCTATGAATGAAGTCAGCTATCGAAAAAAAATTAGCATATTCAATACCTGTGAAGTTAGAAACGATTGAACTCCATGGACTGCAAGTGGGGAAACCAAGTGGTTATACCAATTGGAGAGACCTTGTTAAGAGTTCCTTCTTTTTCTCACTTTCTTGGGCTGGTCATAAAGAATGCAGGCCTTATGCTTCTCTTTTTCCTGGAAAATGTTGTGATACTATTTTACATTAGAAAGCATTGTTCACCATCTTCCATTAAGGAGTAATTTCTGCATATGGTTTAATCATCAAGCACAATGGCACATCAAAATCCCCAGATTCCTTTCAGGAGTAATTTCTGCGTATTTCATTTCGGAGAAGCCCATAGTTCTTTTCTTTTATGGGGTAGGTAGAGAAGCCCATAGTTCATCAAACCACTATCATTATATCCAAGGAAGCATAATGTGCATTTGTGCTGAAATAAATCAACCAATTGCAAAATCTACACCTAAATGGCAACAAGTGATCCAATAGTTTCTATATACAAATTGGAATCACAACTTGACCTGTACTCCTCAATGAAACGTTTACCTTCTGTGGTTCTCACGCAACATCATGTTCTGGAGAGTAGAAAACACGTGTACAGAAGATGAGATAAAAAGGAAATGGGATCCATAAGCATTTTGCACAATAGAATCAACTTAATAAAAAAACTGATCAGAATTTCCTTAAGAAGGTTGAACTACCTCATAAAGAGAAGCACAGATAAACCTGAAGGATGTCCAATACATAGAAAAGCATGCAAGGCCCGGTACCTGAAACACTACTGTATTGAGTTCTTTTCAGAGACTAAACGACTTAAAGATTGAAGGTGTAAAACTGTTCCATCCATTGTTTTTCATTAAAAATACAGCATAATAGCGAAAATAGACATTTAAATTTGGTTTTCCTAATCAATTAGGTTAGACACAAGTGGCCGTCCCAAAGGAAGCCAGATTACAACAAAACCATGATAATCTATTAACAGAAGAATGTAAATACTACAGGGACGACAAAACCGGCGACTGGAGTGAGTTAACAGCAGCAACTTAAGTGGGGAACAGCAACTGAACTTTGAGTGGGCCCAACTTTAGTAGCCGGCCAAATTGTATCTGTAGTCACCTTAAGAGAAAGAGAGTATGCTCGTTGATATCCACAAAGTGGGGCCCTTTGAAGTGACAAATTTGCAGGTACTTCACAGCAAGAGAATTTGAAACCCTTTATATTCTTCTTTTCTTCATATATTCACTCCTGAAAGAATACGTCCCACCTTGTAAATTAAATGTGACATTCTTGAATCTGAATTATAATACACTTGTTGCATCCCGAAAAAAAGACCGAAAATTAGAAGTATTCAATAATCCAATGGATTATCGAAAACCATAATCATTCGTATCATCAAGATCGTATGAAATGATAGAAAGTGATGACCCAATGGATACCAGTTCATAATTTCCCTTCCAACATCGCATGCAAAAAAAAAAAAAAAATTGACGGAATTTTTGTTGAGGGAAAACATCGCATTTAAAAATTAATTGGGGCACTAGAGCAGAAGCATAGGCTTTGCAAAAAATAGTAGCTGAGAGGGCATATTAATGTACCATTCTTTTTGAAGAGGAAGTGCGTTGCAATGAAGGAAGCCAGCTGCTTGAAGGACCACTATTGCCACCTATTGCACGAACCGAATTGGAAATTTCAGTTGGCTTCACAGGTTTTATACTCATAAAATTTCTCTTTGACGTACTTGGTGGAGCAAATGATGTAGAAGGCATGGGTCCTTTGTCAACCAGAGCTCCCACTCTCTAGAACAAGAAAAGATGTGAAGTTAGCCAAAAACCGATCAGGAAAAACAGAAAAGAATTCAATTGGATAATACAGATTCAAATATAAAACTATGAAACGTTACCAAGCAAAGCATAGTTATCCCCATGCTACATCATATCCATAAAACAACCACCCTTGGTATCCTCATTACCATTGAATACAATTGAGTACAAAAAAATCACAGTTGTCAATCTTAATGCATTTTCCCAGGGATTAGAGAAAGCACAAAGCAATGTCTATTTGGCAAATATAAATGCAAAGTATCACAAGGTAACCAGAAAAAAAAAATTGTATTGGGGAAAGATGAATTTGGATTTCTAATTTAGTAATGTAGCTTGTTGTGTAACTTACAGTCTTCTCTAGATGAGCATTCTCAATGCCGAAAGTTCTATCATTCGATGGTTTAAATTGCATCCGAATCGCAGGACGAGCACCATTACTTGTACCAAATCGATCAGCCACCTCAGCAAGATTAGAAACATTATTATCCCCTGGATATAAGATCAAAATAATCAACCAACAAGAACAAAATCACTCTAACCGTTAATCCTCAGGCTAAACAGATAACAAATCGAACAAATTACATTGCAGTTGCATGAGCATGAGTCAAGGCCATAATGTCTTCTCTGGAAATAAATGAAGACAGCATTGATACTAGGAATAACAATAGCAATGAACATAAGGACAAAACAAAAAATTAAAAATTAATTAATTTATTGCACATGAAATTAAGACAAAGATTATGTCGACGAAGAAAAACATAATATTGGAAAAAAATTTGTTGGAAACTGGAAAATGGACAGTGTAAATTTTAGGTCTAACTTATATACATTCTAGCTTTCCAGAAATGTACTACTTATCAGTTAGGATGGTCAGATCTAAAAAGCAAAAAATTCTTCCACATTGGATGTATCACTTTACTGAGGATATTTCTTACCTATATGATTGCCGGCATCCAGCGGCACAGCTCGGCTGCTATTCCCTCCAGATATTGGCTGAATACGCAAACACCATTTCTTATTTAAGAACTAATAGAACTTAAAGATTCAACAAACAAATAGGTGTCGTACCAATGTGCGAGAGGAAGTCAAATGATATGTAAAAAGAAGTAAAACCAAGATACCAGAAGACTTTATAAATATTCACTCTTGAAACAAAATTCCAGGCAAACAAAATCACCAATCAACAATACATATGGGATTTGCATATTTCACTTCTAAAATGCACAGAATCAAAAGTACTAACAGATGATCGCTGATGAGTCTTCGTTCTCTGGGCTTGTTGGTATTTGAGGATGGTCCAATCGAATATATAATCAAACTGATATCCTGTCAGTAATCAAGAAAGAAACATGATGTGAGCAGCAAGTGAATAAAAGCAGAAAGTAAATGGCATATACATTCATTTCACTTGAATTAATAACAAAAGAAATCAAAATAGTGCGCTGTTTAAGAGACTTGAATTCTAGTAATCTTCTATGAAAACTCCCAAAAGTCAACAGTAACAAATGCCACTTGAAATAAGCTCCAAAAAGGTTTAAAAGACATATCAACTATGATCATGCATCATTCACCTTCTGCATCAGTGCAAAGTAAGTATGTTCAGGAACTCAGAGCAAAGAAGGTAATGTGAAAAGACACATTCGAGATATCCATCTAAGAAAAGAATACGAACCCAACTAAACAAAATGCATGGTAAGTAAACATTAGCATCTATACTCGTGAAAAGAAACACAATGAAACAGATAGGGAAAAAATCAACAAAACATTAGATTTTTTTCAAGACATTTTCACAAGTAACAAAGGAATCTCAAAGTGATAACAAGTTGTATAGGTTAGACTACCCAAAGCCAAATCTAAAAAACAATAGGAAGAAAACACACAGATATTATAATGTACTTTTTCCATGATTGGCATATAAGTAATGTCTAACTGGACAGCCACGAGTCAAAATTTTATTCATTGTCTTACCTTCACGTGAAAATAAGTCACGAAATAGCCGCTTCAAGAAGCCATAATCAGGCCGTTGATCGAATGTCAAAGAATGGCAGTAATGTAGGTAGGATGCAAATTCCACGGGATGAGACTTGCATAAGACCTTGGAAATAGATGATATCCTCAGTCAGTATGATCAAATGAACAAGTCAGCACAAACGTGGAAGAACAACTCATGAGAAACGTAGAAAGTAGTGAAAGGCAATACCTCAATTGGGGTGGACAACTTCTTCTCACATATTTTTTCATATTTTTGTTTCTTTGTTGCAGCCTTCAAACCCTGCCATGGAAGGCTGCATGTGTGGCATCGGTGATTAGCACATGCAAGTTATAAATGTATTTCACAGAAGGAAAGCAAATAAAAAATTTTGCTTTTAAAATCAATCGAGGGAAAATAAGGAAAGCTAATTACAACTTTTCATCCTTAGTAGCATTCCATTGTTTGATGATTTGATCAACTTGGAGGATTTGTTATAATTTCATTATATTGCACACACAAAAATATATTCAATAAATAACTTCACAGTGCAATATCATTACATTTACTGAAACCACTAATAAAGGATTTCTCCAATAATATAAAAAAGAAAAGAGAAGAAAGAGTGAGAGAGAGAGAGGGAGAGAGGGCAGGAGGGAGGCACCAACCAGAACTGCACCAAAATCCACACATGCAGTTGCATTGGCAAATAATTTGAACCAAGTAATTTTTTACCAGAAAGGTGATCGACTGATGTTGACAAATTTTTAACAAAAACATAACTAATACGATTAGATATCCAAGTGTCAAATCGTGCAATTTGTACGAAACGTTGACACCCAAACGGAATAAGTGCAGAGCTAATATTTGGAACAAGCATATGTTGCATATAACTGCATAGCCAATTCTGGATGATTTGACAACGACAAGCTAAGGGGGATACCTTCCTCTTAGGAAATATAGAAGAACATATCCAAGAGACTCCAAGTCATCCCTGCGGCTTTGTTCTGAAAACAACAAAGCAAAACACAATAAATCACAGAGAACTTTTACTAACTTGAAAGAATTGAAGTTAGAATGCTTGGCTGCTTACCAATGCCCAAATGAGTGTTGCAACTTGCATAACGTGCAGTACCAGTCAGATTTTTGTCCTCCCTGAAAGAGATGATGACAATTAAAAATAAATACTTATTGCCTGCCCATAGTTACCAGGTGTAAAGTGAATCAATGGAGGACGCCATTAAATTTAATGCTGAAAAGAAAGGCATAATACCTGTAAGGAATATGGCGATTGGTTGTGGAGTCCCGGTATCGTTTTGCAAGTCCAAAGTCAATGACGTAGACCTATAGAGCAGAGTTCCAGTCATTCTATGGATTCATATTCTTGTGAGTACTACATAGGAAGAGAGAATATTTAAACAGCTATTACCTGGTTTGCTTTCTTACCAAGACCCATTAGGAAATTATCTGGCTTGATGTCCCTATGCAAAAATCCTTTGGAGTGAACGTACTCTATTCTAGTTATCTGGACTCAATTGGGTCAAATACAGAGATGAAGAGGTTCAGAAATTGAAGAGATAAACCAGCAGTCTGCTAATTGAAACTATGAGAAACTGAAGAATTAGATTCTCGATATGGAAATCATCCACTTCATACATAAGAATTACATTACCATCTGATCGGCGAGCATTAAGACCGTCTTCAACGAGAATTTCCTACCACAGTAGACAAACAAGTCTTCAAGACTTGGTCCAAGCAAATCAAGCACTAAGACATTGTACTCTCCATCAAGCCCACTCCATCGTATATTTGCAATACCACCTGGAAAAGAGAACAAATTTCAAGGATAATTAGCAGGCAAACAAAAGTCAAAGGATAATTTCTTTCTGTGCCACTGAAAGTACTTCAAAAAGAATCAACCAAGTAAGCCCTATCCCAACCCAAATCCAAACACAACAATACACATCCAATTCAGGAATGAAATTTCCCTTCCACACACTGTTCATATCAATTTGCCCCTGAAGCATGAATTCCAGAGCATTCACATGTGTTAAAGACTAAAAATATTAAATGTTACATTTTAAGTTATAGCACGTCTTTACATAAAATCTTATGATAAAAGGAGACTTCTAATAAATAAATACCCTTTGCATCTGTAAATGACAAGTTAACAACAAATTACTACCTAAAAAGAACCATCTACAAAATCCTGTTAAAATAACCCATTGATAGCATTTGTGATAACAATAGTGGTTATAAAGGCAGAACAAAATAAGGTTAATAGAAGCGCAGGTATGATGAGTAGTGCATACTTCCTCCTTGTAGAATTTTATATAGCTTGGCCTCATAAAGCAGTTGTGGATGCTTTGTCTTCCCACTCTCCTGAAGATGATAAAACAGGCACACGGTAAACGATCTTTATGTCACCAACAAAAAAAGTTCTGGAGAAACCCAACAAAAAAGATGAATAGAAATTAATGTTTGGGACCCAAAAATGAATATATACACGCTCTATAACTAAGTCTTAGAAAAATATACTACACTAAACAAATAAACTTCCAAAATAAATTTTCGAGTATACCTAAAAGAAATACCCAAAAATCTGAATTCCTTTTCAAAACACAATAAGGTATAAAAGGATTGAGTAAAAGAATTAATTTCTAGCAGCGAGGCTTGAAAACCCTTAAGGCCATCCATTGAAGATGCTTTCTTACTTCAATATTTCATAAAAAATCCATTCACAACATTAAACAAATTACAGGAGCAGAAAGGGAGGCCAATTCAGGGGAACAAAAGAAAAGGTAAAATACAAGCAATTAACCACTACTTTGTGACATGAAAGACTAACTTTCCCTAAGTTCCAGCACTTGACATAGATTTCCCAATATAACAAACCCAATCATAAGCAATGAAAAATTAGAACTTCCCCACAGCCCAATGTTGTAAAACTTATGCGAAGTTCAAAATATGTAATTAACTGAGATTCGCTTTATTTATATCAACTACCTAATGTTCTCCACTTTTTTAAAAAAAAAATGATAGGTTTTCCACTAGCAGCGGGCCCCAAATGGTTGGATAAGGCTTGGATGATGATGATGATCTGTTTCCCATTGATATTTATTTTGCTTGTCAAAATGAAAAAGAAAAGTCACTTCTTTATTGGGATTTCAACCATAAGACCTCCACCACCATGTATATCCAATAAATAAAACCATCACAACAATTAAAATAATAACATAACTCCCAATAATCAAAATACCAATGATTTTCAAAAAAAATTACAATACTACATAAAAACCAGGGATCCAATTTCAGCGTATCAAATCCTTGAGGATACCTGTGATGGATCTTTCAAATAAATATATTCAAAATTTTCAGTACCATCACATACACCAAGCAAACAAAATTGCAAACAGAAATAATCAAAGCATTAAAAAGATCACATCTGTCAAAATTATGAACATTTACAAGCTTCACGGCCATGACCTCATTCGTATCAACATGAACAGAAAAAAGTAACAATCAAAGCATTAAAATGATCACATCTTTCAAAATTAGAAACACTTACAAGCTTCACGGCCACGACCTCATTTGTATCAACATGAGTAGCTGACAAAAAAAGGGGCAATAAGAATGAATCATAAAAAGAAATTATTTTAGATCATATGTCTTCACGCAAACTAAATTAAAAAAAATGAAAACAAAAAATCAATGCTCACCAAGATATATTTCTCCAAAAGATCCACTCCCAATTTTCCGACCTAACCTGAACTTCTCACCCACCGTCCTCTCCATGACCTAATCTCAAATCAGAGCATCCAAATTCAGGGTCCTCTTGTATGACTCTTGCTGCAGAGATTAGAGTTGCTTGCTGAACAATATCGGGGGCCAAAAACCTTAGAACAGAGGAAAAATAAGGGGATTTTTTAAGCTCAGATGCCGAGAACTGGAGCTTCACTGAGTTGCAGAGAAACTAGGGTTTTTAGTGATGAAAACAAGGGCAAAAAATTTAGCGAGATAAGATTAAGGAGCCATTTATAGAAGTGGTGACGATGAGGTAGATCATAGACAAAAGGAGAGAGAGAGAGACTGCTTTTTAGGAGAGAGCGAGATACGCTGCCGGTTTTGAAGGGGAGAGAGAGAAGGGGGCGGAGAGAGCTTCTTTCCCGGCAACTTGTAGTTGGTGGCTTTGGCTAAGGCTCGAAGGGGTGTTTTGTTAACGTGAAGGGACCGAAACGCCCTTATATGTGATTTTTAAAAGACGGAAATACCCTTTGTACCTATCCCTAACCGAAAAGATATACATGTAATACATGTGAGTACGTACTTAACGTACTCTAATATTTCATTATATTTAAGACCCTTTCTCATTAGGGGTATTTTAGATACATAGATAATAAATAATATTTATTACTATAATAAATAACGACATTATAGTCACATGACCTACGTAGATCAGTTTTTAACGGCTCATAAATGTCATTATTTTATTATGAAAATATTTATCATTTATTTTCTAATTAAGAAAAGTGTCTTTATTAAAAAAAAAATCATTATAAAACAAAGACATATGCGTATCCAAAAAAAGTTGAGTATAATGAAAAACTACTCGTATGTATGCGTACCTTAACATAAGTTTATAATAAAACTATGGGATTGTCTACAAAGAGATCATTTATCAAAGGGTGGTCATAGATGTGATTAGACTCGGGGACCCAACGAGTGGATCCTATCTCAAGTTTGGGTATAGTTTAATTTTTTTATCCGACGGGTCAGGTTTGGGTTCAAAACTTGGACCTAAATACTATTTGAGTCCAAGTCTGGGTTTAGCCAGACTCAACTCATACCTGTAAACCATTGGAGATAAAATATTTTACTTTAAGTCCTTGTCGTTTTGATGTATTAAAGATTTTTTACAATAAAAACTCATAATAGTATTTAGCTATTAGACGACAAATCATATAACTTGAAGTCTAATAGCAGCATGATTGTGACCTTGTTGCCAATATTATAGGTAAATTATTATAAAAGAAAGTCTAAAAATAATAAAAATAAAAAGCAGCTCACAGTCATAGGGTGGCAATGGACCCAACCTGACCTAAGACTCAATGGGTGAACCCATGAGTATAGGTCTAATTTTTTAACCCAAATGGGTCGGGTCTAGGACCAAAACTTGGACTCGAATACTATTTGGGTATAGGTTTAGGTTCAAGTCCAGTCGAACTTGACCCAAACCCAACCTGATACCACCCCACATTTATCTTTTGTACATGGATGTCACAATTATTATAGCCCCTTAAATTTCAAAATAAGTGGTTGTAAGAGTGTCATTAAACATACACAAAGTTAGTAAAAAAAATATATCGGACTTCACAACTCACACCAAACCATCAAATTTGACATCTAATGAGTGGGGATGAATGGGTGAGTGGGAATGAATGGATAGTTGTAAGAGTGTCATTGAATAAACACAAAATTCAAAAAAAAATCTCGAACTTCGCATTAACACTAAACCATCCAATTTGACATCTACTTAATAAGAATGATTGTAACTTTTATGTACAAAAAATAAATGGTATCTTCTAAAACTATCCCTAAAATTATACACTGTTGATACAAGGATGTTACTGTCCTTGTTGACAGGTCGATTTGCAATTTTGGCAGAAAACTTATTTTCCTTAATCCCTAAAGCTCATATTAATCTTATTATTTTAAAGGAAATAAAACTAACACAATTGAAATCGATTTATCTGAAGTCTAAAATTCTTATTGGAAATCGATTTTTCTATTGAAGACAAGGTTCAAACACCTCCAGGTCAAAGAATAAGGAAATACGACCGAGTGCCTGTGTGATGGACCCACGGGTGGAAATAATTCATTTGAACCTGCAGTCAAACCATTAGAGATCGGGGACTTTTGTAACCTACAGTTTTCTCAAATCATATTTGATCAATGCTAACATCAACTTTAGGAAAAATAAAATGATTTGAGCTCAAAATTCTCTAGATCTTACATCAATCCGCAGATGATCAAGGTCCAATATTGGAGGAGATTTGATCTGGAGCATTTTTTTTATATTTTTAACTCGATTTCCATCTTTTAAGCATTGATCTTAGATTGAAATTAACATGGATTGAACGATAAGGATTTCAGAAAACAAATTAAAGTTTGTTCTTTCGCCGTGGGTCCACGAAATATATTTTTTATTGTGATTTAACGGTAATAGAATGTGCTATTCCTATTTTGATTTTATATATTTTTAAATTTATCAAAAAAGAATGCGTCTGTTGAATGTCTTTGAAAGCTTCAAAAATGGCATTCAAAATGATGTGATTGACAACTTACCCAATAAAAAATAGTCTACATCAAATTAATTCACCAAATTAACAATGCTGGGATTTTCTCTAATGGTCATCCCAATGG